AGGCCTGGCCAGAAACAAGGACATCAGAGGGAAGCGATGGAGCTGCTGGGTGAAAACCCCTTGTGCAGAAGGCGGCTCAGCTGAGCATCTTCCACCGAGACCCTGGGAGGGAGCACGGCAGCTTCATCCCGGCGTTCGGCGGGTTTCCTTCAGAAACCACAGCGGGTCGTTGAAGAAACACCGGCGTATGAAAAGTGAAACAAAGCCATGGCATTGCTCGTCAGCGAGCACATCCCAGACTGTCCTTTCTTGTTTGCTTGTGTGCACTCTTAGCTGGGAGGCGATCGATGGAGTCCAAAAAATGCTGTTTCCCTGGAGAATGTCTCCTGAGAAAAGTCTCCCCCTCCCTCTGAAGTGTGAAAAGGACCCAGTGCAGGTAGTTTTTCTGTTGCTCTTTAATTACCATTTTTTCTTTGCTGTCTGTAATAATCCCTTTGAAGCTTGGAGCGAAATACCTGTTTCCTGGTTGAAATTTGTTTTCCTCCATCACCCGGGCCGATTCAATTTCCAGGCCATACTGAATTGGGAGGCACTGGGCACGCCCTTCAGAGAGGCCAGAAAAAAAACGAACACAGGTTAGAAAATGTGGGGAAGGAAATCACAAAACGAAACTCAGCCCGGAGGGGAAGAAACGCCCGGCTGGGGCGACAGGCGGAGACAGTGCTTGGGGAAGAGAACGGAAGAGGAGAAAATGTGCGAAGCCCGAGGGGACGGGAGCAGATAGGATGCTAGGTCTGCGTTGGCCGTACGACGTGGGATAGCAGGGAGACATGGTGAGTTTGGAACCAGGTCCTCAAAAGGTCCCTGTTGGTGGTAAAGAGCGGGCAGTGAAGGCATCTCACGGCGACGCTGCCACTGCCGCCCCACGAGGACCACCTGAGAAGCTTGGGTTGGGGAGGACAGGGCCCACGGCATCCCCTCTTGCCGTGCCAACCTTCAGCGTGGCAAGCCCAAGGAAACCATGGGAAGAGGTCCTTTGGGCAGGAGCCCCAGGAGCAGACCCTCACCCCCATCCTGGGGCCGTCTCGGCACAGGGGTGGGTGGGACACAACGGTGCACAGACCTGTCCCTACGCCCCCTCCAACCCGGTTTGGCTTAGGAAAAAAAAACAGGGGTGAAAAACGACAGGTGAGCTCAGTGGCTGAGCCACACGAGGAGAGACTGAAGAAGGTAGATTTATACAGCCTGGAAAAGACCCCGGGCAAGGCGTTTGCAATCTATAAATACCTTCAAGGTAACAATATAAATGAAAGAAGCCCCCGCTCTCCAGGGCGGTAGGACAAGGGGTGCTGGCCAGGAGCCAGGCTCGATGCAAGAAGGCCGGGGAGGCATTAGGAAGAGATTATGAAGAGCCGAAGCGGTGGAGGTGGTGGATGGGGCTGCTGGAGCATCCTCCGCATCTTGTGGGCTCTGTTTTGTTCAGATTCTGTTCATAAATAATTACTGGAAGGTTAATAGGTGAGTGAGACGTGTGATGGGCTTGTTAAAAACACGAGTAGCTTGCCTTCTGGCTGTCCACGAGCACATCACGGGAAGCTTTACAAGAGAGTTATCAGCTGTCGTTATTAAAAACCAATTTGACATTATAAAAGATCTATACCGCTTGTTCAGCCACATTGATTTAGCAGTGTTAAGCCTGGGAAAACTGGAGCAGGAACCTTGATCTCTGCTGGAGCATGAAAAATTGCGGTTTGTGACACGTCTCCGCGCTCGGGAAATGCGGTTCTGCGGAAGCGATGGGTTTTGAGCAAATACATAAAGCACCGCGCCGCGGGTGTTGGGCCGTGTGTTCCCGCGCCGCTGCCAAGTCAGACAGCGCTTGGAGACCTTGCCCTCCGCTCTGCTGCTTTCTGCAGCATCCAGGAGGATCTCACCCGAAGTCTGCCCAGCTCGAACCCGCTCTTGGACACTTCTCCGTCTGGTTTCCAAGCCCCGATGCCCTCTGTGTCTCTGCTGGGTGGAGGATCAGCAAGCAGGCTGCGAGGACGTGACCCAGAGACCTCACAAGTCACTTTAATCCTCATCTTGAAACCTCCTCCTTTTCCTTCACGGAGCAGGGAAGGTGGTTTTATGCAAAATAACCAGGAAAATGCCAGCACAAGAGAAGTGATGGATTTCCACACGGGTTTGGTGCCGCGCTCACCCCGTCCCATTGCCTGCTGCTGGGAAATGCCTTCATGTCCCCAGTGCCTCCCATGAGCACCTGAGGAGCAGAAGAAAACACTTCAGAGGCTGGAAATCTGCTCGTGGCCGGGAGCCTCCGCGGAGGCAAAGTCGCAAGAGGAGCTTGACGGAGCAGAAATGCTCCTGACAGAAAGCACAGCGTCTTCCCGTGTTCATCAGCTGAAGTTTCCCTGTTTCTACCTTCCATCCTGCTTGCTCTCCTTCATCTTGTTGCTGAGGTGTGGCATTTTGACGAGAAGAAACAAACTGGAGGAAACGAGGACGTGCCTCTTCTCCACCCCACAACCTGTGCAAGGCTTCAGGGACGAGATATCGGGGCTCAGCAGATGTCTCCTGCCACAGCCCGGGGAGGAGGAGCATCCCCAAGGGACAAGCGCTGGCAGATGCTCTCCATGACGGGCAGCATCGTTCCAGCAGCCAGGAGGTGGCAGATCCCATCAGGAGGCAGGGAAGCATGATGCTGAGCTCAGCCTTGCTGGTCGACCTCTCGCAAGCCCCTTGGCTTGGGCTGCAGTTCCCTCTGGAAGGAGAAAGGCATCTCCAAAGCATCATGGACCATGGAAACCTGTGGAGCAGCACTCGGACGCTGTCGCTGGTGCTGGTTTCTCCATACGAGGAACCACCCCCATTAACACACGAAGCGAAATAAAAGCGGTGTCTCCGGATTCATTCTTGAAGGAGGAGCCCGAGGAGGAAGGGAGGGTAGGGAAGCTGAAGTGGCCGGTCAGCATCTGTTAGAGGCGCGGAGATAAATGAAACGAGAGCGCGGATCCCATCCGTACCGCTCGTACATCTCCTGCAAAACGCTGGTGTCATCGGGTGGTGGGTGAAGCCTTGCAGGTCAGCTGTCCTGATTCAATCAGGTTCACGTTAGCAGGCGCCGGGGGAATCTGCTCTGGCAGCGCTGTCAGAGTGTTTTCCAGCCTGCCGTGGCCCGGCGTTTCGCTCTTGCTCCGGCCCCGTGGAGACACTTGGGGAAGCCATTGGTGCCTAAAGTCCCTCTTTGAGTCCGTTGCAGCTCCAGTTGTCTTTGGTTGCCCGTGGGGCAACGTGAGTCTGGCGTTAAAGGGAGGGGAACCATGCGTGACCCAGCGAGCAGAGGGGGCTTGCAGAGAGCAGTATAGGCAGGAGCAGGAGACCTGTGGGAGAACCATGAGCAGATGCTGTTTGCCTCGAAGGGGACATCTTCCCCAGCACCCCCACCACCACCGACCCCGCGTGGGAAGCATGGCTGCTCCCTCTGGAGCCTGATGGCCAAGTCCAGCTCCCAGCACCTGCATCTGTCCCCAGCCCACCCCACCTTGTCACAGAATCACAGGATGGTCAGGGTTGGCAGGGACCTCTGTGGGTCACCCAGCCCAACCCCCTGCCCAAGCAGGG